GCCTCAGCCTGCTCTGAGCCACTGGGGTTGGATCCTTAATTCTCCCTCCTGTCTCCCCTGAATTCATCCTCGGGTCACAAAACTCCTAGCACCTCAGCTGTCCATGCCTGGAATTGGGAGAACTTGGCATTGAGTGCAGCCTCCGGGCATGCTGGGAGCCTCAGAGTCAAGGTCTCTACTCCACAGTCCTGCACTGCCTCCCTTCAGGCCCTGGTGCTGGGAGAGCTGCACTTTGGAGGGCCCAGCGTGCCAGGGTTGGACCCCATCTCACATGGAGCTGCCCAGTCCCCTTTCTATGCCTAGCCGCCCCACACTGCCAAAGGCAAACGGTGAGCTCACCTAAATGGAGGAGAGGTGAGGCTTTTTGTTAAAAAAAAGAAAGCAGAGCAGACCCAGGAGGGGCTCAATCCAGCCTTCTCCAAGGCCAGCTAAATTCTCCTTTCTCTCTCCTCTCAAAATTTGTCAAAATAACATCATGTGCCTCTTGGTCTATTTCTCTGCAGCTGCCCTCTTCCCCCTGTGCCTCGAGGCCTGCCTCAAGGATCAGATTCCAGGACTTTTTGTTCTTATTCCAACTGGCCACCATCCACATCCCTCCTCCCCATGCAGCCACATTCCCTGTCCTGCAGATCTGAGCAGGGCTCCAGTACACGCACCGAGGGCGCGCTGGTTGGAGGCTGCCTCTCGTAACTGCCATTGCCTTGATGGACTTGTTTTCCTCTGAGGAAACATATGTCCCATTCTCTGGTGGCCGATGGTAAAACTGTACTGTCTCACAGTGTTGTACAGTCTTCAGGCTGAAGAGGCATCCAATCAGCGGGGGGTAAGGTGGGGAATCCAGTGGAGCGATTTGGAGGGTCATTAAAATCGTAACAAGCTAGGGCTGGATGTCACAGGCGAGTTAAAGATCCCACCCTCAACAATCAGGTGTACATCTCTAACTGTAAATTCAGGTACAAGAAGTTCTAAAAGCCAATTTTATTTTTGTAAATTTGGCGCCAAAATTTATTTGGGGGCAGTATTTGACCTGAACTTAAATATTCATATTTCACTGCAACAATAGTAAGGGGCTGCGGCCACATTCCGGGGGGTGGTTGTGTGATACTTGGTATTTGCACCATATTCCCTTTGTCAAGTTCTACATGTTTGTGATTGGAAAGTCACTTGAGCACAGGTATTTCAGATCTAGGGCCACTGGCCTGTACGGGTCGTGGCTGAGTGTGTGCCAGGCATTGTTTCAAACAGCTACATCTCCTTCGTCTTCACAGTGCTCTGTGCCTGGGAGACCAGGCCTGTCCCCATTTTCAGTTTAGGCTCAGAGGGGTAAAGGAACATGGCTCACAGCTCTATCCCAGTCAGTGTTGACAACCAGACTGGAACCTTAGTTCGCGCCGCATCTAGTGCCCTTGCTTAGCCTGACATGCTGAACTGCTTCCTTGAAGCCAGATGCCATTTGCCTTTTACCTTAAGTGGAAGTGAATGGTCCATTGAAATTGGATCATTAACTCAACTGGTAAAGTGAAATCCCTAAAGTTGAGTGCTAGCAGGCTGCAAACAAGAAGGAGCTCCTATAGACAGCTGGGTTGGACCCTTCTGCTCACTCAAGAGTTGGTTTCTCACCTCACATTTAGACACCATTCCTTTCGAAAACCAGGATCCTGATTCGAATGCATCTCCAGCCTTCCCATGGGAAACACTGTCCTCGGGGGAAGTGTCACAAGGGAACAAGCGCCATCTCATTAGGTGATTTGCTTTTTTGGTGGCTTGCCTTGGTCATCAGTAAAACCTGGGAAGTTTGTTTACCTTGCTGGAAGTGAGATGCACAGCCAGAAGTGAGAAGCACACATTTTTTAGCTCTGGAGTCACCATCTGTCTTTCTACAGGGACACCAGCTCTCACCTCAGATACTTGCCCTTCCTTTCCATTTTTTCTCCCCTGGAAGAGTGGCATAGTGGAATCCTTAGGCCTTAACGTTAGTGGGAAGGAACATGGGACAGAACATGTTGACGCATTTTGGCTGCATGTGGAGTAAAGAGCTCGGAGGAAGGTAGGATGAGAACACAAGAACAATGAGCTCAAGAACAAGGTGGTGAGACCCAGCCTGTAAGGCAACATGGCCATTTCCCCTCCGGTCTGGAGTTCTCTGGAGGGGCAGGGTCCAGAACAGGACGAGCCTATAAGGTGTGCAGGTCACACAATTCCTGTAAATCCCATGGTGGGCACAGCATTTGGAGAGATGCTGCTCATGTTCTATCTCAGTCATGGTTTGCAGAACCACATCTTAGCCCCTGAAAACAGGCAGGGTGGTAGAAAGAAAATGCTCTTGGCCAAGCGCTGTTCCAAGTGCTTTCGATGTCTACACATACTTAACCCCAGAGGACTTCTTGTAGCCCCCATTTTGTAGAGGAGAGAATAGGCAAGAGTAAGAAGAACAGAAAGTTCCAGAGACAGTGCCTCATGCTCTGTAAGTGTGTCCGTGAGCTCTGCAGCCAGACTCAGCTATGTGACTTTCTGTGAGAACTGGAGGCCACTGAAGACCTCTCTTGCGCCTTTCTTTCCAACAAAAAAGGCCCCATGCCTCCAAGGACTAAAATGAGAAAAGGCAGGCGAAGTACTGAGTCCCATGCCTGGCCTGGGAAGGTGGCTTCCCATGGCAGTGGCATCCCACATGATAGCCCAGCCTCTCGAGCCCTTTCTGTGCTCCTAGCCGTGAACAGCACAGCTTCCCAATCTTTTTCCCGAGTACTCTCTGCACTTGCATCTAGGTAACGGGTTGGGCGGGATTTCCAGGACTCCAATCATTAAGAATTCTCCGTCTGAGACAGCTGAGGTGGCTCTGGGGTAACATGGCCCATCTCTGACTAGGCCCAGTTGTGGAAGAAATGAAACAGAAAGGCTCCCAGTGTTGGATGGTGAAATGTGCCCAGGGCAAGGGTCATGCCTGCTAGTGAAAGAGACCCTGGGGCTCCCCCAGGGTAGCTGCAGAAGTCCGTGTGAGCAGATGGTAACAGCCCTATAATGAAAGCAAACCACAGTGCTCCTGAATGACAGACAAGGGCTTGAGCTCCCAGAGGCCCTGTCGTGTCCTGTCCTGTCCTGCCTTCCTGCCTGCTGTGTCTATCTTCATGCCACGCAACCTGGCCACTCCCTTGGGAACTCTGCCTGCTGGATGCATCCATGATACGACCAATTTCCAGGCCAAGCACTCTGCTTGGTTAGACTGCAACAAAACAGGTCTCTCCCTAGGGAATTGCCATGGTCACCCTGGAATAAGAGGTCAGCCCCTGACAGGTGCTTCTCTTAGGCCAGGTCCTTCTGTTCTGTGGAAGAGGGAAGCACTGCAGGAAGTACACTGAGAACAGTCTGGAGAGGACAGTGCCCAAGCCTTAAGGAGCTGGATCAGAAAGATAGAAAGGGGAGGGAGGGAAATTTGGGTGCAAGGAACCGAGGGGCTAAAGGCTAAGTCTGCACTACAAGCACTTGAAGGTAGAAAGCAAATTCAAAGCAGGGCCCCACAGGCTCTGAGTCTAAGGAGGTTGGTGGGGACAGGCTATGGCCCTTTGGGGACATGTGAAAAAGAGGGGAACACAATCAGATCACTGGTTTAGCCCGGCAACTCTTACAGCAATGGTTGATTCACAGGGGGGCGGTCAGTTATGGGTCAACTGTATGATTTCACGCAATGAATCAACATGGGCCAGACTTGGGCAAGGCTAAAACAACGGAAAGGAAGACCAAGACTGACAATATTTCAAGCAGGCAGAGCTGTGCCACGGTGTCCGTGGAGCCCTGCCTGCTGTTATGCACACCTTCACACAAGCCTTGTGGCTGCCGTCTAGGGAAGAAGACATAGACTAGGTTATAAAGGCTGGAACCCATGCCCCCGCCCCGGCAGCCTGTCGGCACCACTGTCTCAGCTGCTTGGATGAAGCCAGCTGCCATGTTGTGAGATGCTCTATGATGGTCATGTGGCAAGGGACCCAAGGGGGCCAGTAGCTATGGCCTCAGTGCAACAGCCTGCAAGGAACTGCTTCATGCCAGCCACCACCTGAGTGTTTGGAGGTAGGTCCTTCCCCACTGAAGCTTGAGAGGACTGCAGCCTTCTGTGAGATTCTGAGCCAGGAGACCCTGATGAGCCATAGGACTCCTGACGTGCAGAAAGTGTGAGCTAATGCAGGTGTGTGGCTGGAAGTTGGGGCTCTGGGATAACTGGTTATGCAACAATAGCTAATTCATACAGACAGGGACCCGAGCAATGAAAAGCAGCAACCGTGATAGATGCTACCGGGAGTATCAGCTGCATCTAATGACTGAAATGATTGCGGGAGGTGAGGGGGTGAGAGAAGTGAAAGTCGAAGGTAATTTTAAGAAGAGCATAGGCTCTGTGGCAAGACTTCCTGGCTTTAAGATCTTGCTCCATCACTTGCTCACTGTGTGACTCTGGGCACGTCATCACAACTCTCTGAACCTCAGTTTCTCTGTCTGTAAAACGCGGATGAGAAGCGTACCTTACAAGTGCCTGTCTTCCCTTTCAGGATCTGCCTCAGCACCCAACACGGTGATGAATGGCACACTGAATTTGCTCAGTCAAAGTCTGCTGTGGCATTTGTGGAAGGCTAAGTGTGATCCTTATATCAGTAGGGCCAAGGCCCAAGCACTTCCGTGCCTTTTCTTACATCCTACAGGCCTTGTGAGTCCATCTCCATACAGTCCTGACTTGTCCTCCCAACTCCTTCCCCTGGGAGTGGCTGGTGAGTACTGCTTTTCCTCCCTGGGAGTTAGGTGACCTGAACAGGCACTGTGATCATAACCTTGGCCTTCTGAAAACTGCTTTAACCACACACGATTAGCTGCCTTACATAGACTTTTCCAGAGTCCAGTCCAGCTTGAGAGAGGACAATAGCCCGGATTTGCCCTCCAAAGTCAGGTATCCATGGCATACAACTTAGGTCTGATTTCCCAAACAAAAGAGGACACCATCAGAGATGAGACTGTCTTACCTGTCTGGGCAGAGTGGGCACGGACTCAGAGGCCACCGATCGCTGAAAGCGCTGGGGTTGCTGCATCATCTGCTGCAAGAGGAACGAATGCTCAGGCTGCTGCTGCAGCTGTGGCTGGAGCTGCAAGGTGGCAGTAGCAGTGGAGGAGGCAGTGGCAGATGAGGCCTGCGCCGGTAGTGGCTGCTGCAGGTAGTGGAGCAGGGAAGCCTGCCTAGAGGTGGCAGGCATGGAGGGCATCTTCTGGGGGGCCGGCTCAGAAACAAAATGGGACAAGGGCTTGGTGTGGCCAAAGTTAAACGGCTCAGGGGCTTCTGGGCTGGAGCTGGCCAGCCCCTGTTGCATGAGCATGCTCAGGGTTTTGGATGAGTTGCTGGTCATGTGCTTAAAGATGGCATTTGCTTGCTGCTGCTGCTGCTGCTGCTGCTGCTGCTGCTGATGCTGATGCTGCTGATGCTGCTGATGCTGCTGATGTTGCTGATGCTGCTGCTGCTGCTGCTGCTGATGCTGATGCTGCTGATGCTGCTGATGTTGCTGATGCTGCTGCTGCTGCTGCTGCTGGCTCAGCAGATTACTGGTGGGAGTGAGGGTCCGGATGAGGGAGTGCTGGGGGGTGAAGGACTGCTGTGGCAAGCCTGGGCTGGACAGCTTCTCTGGGCGATAAGGTGGGGATGGCCCGGGGTTGCTGGTGGGCAGTGCAGACATCAGATGCCCTTGGGGGCTCTTGATGGTAGAGGACACCAGGTTGGCAAGAATGGAGCTCTGGGGGCTGAACTGTGGCTGCTGGCTAAGAGCCGGGCTGGGGAGCTTCTCAGGAGCGTAGGGCAAGGTGGGCCCAAGGTTGGCACTGCTGCCCGACGCCATGCTGGAGAGTAAGTCATTGGGTGAGCCTTGCAAAGTGCTACTCGACGAGCTGCTGGATGACATGCATGATACCATAAAGCTCTGAGGGCTGAACGGTGGCGGCGGGGGTGGTGGATGTGGTGATGGCACTGGGCGGTAAGGTGGGGAGAGGCCTGGAGGGGGCAGGCCAGACCAAGTGGGGCTAGAGCCCTGCTGCTTTGTAGCACATCCCTGCTTGCTGGCTGCCAACGCTTTTAGCTGGTGGGCATGGTGCCACTGAGGCACCGGTAATGGGGGCATAGTGACAGGGAGCATGGCCTGGTTCTTGGCCTGTGCTATCGAGGAACTGGGTGATGCCATCTGCTTACTGGTAGAAGGAACTGAATAGCTGATCCCTGTGGAGGAGGGCAGGATCGGCAGTGACACACCAGTCACTTGGCTGCAACTGGAAGTGAACTCCTTGCCGGAATCAAGGTCCTCTAACTGTGGCACTTGAACCGGAAGCTTGGGTGGTGTCTCTTCCAGTGTCTGGGTGTGGTATAAGTCCAGTGGCTCTTCAGGTTTGCTCCCCAGGATCTTTTCCAGATCTAGATCATTAAGAGAAGGCTCCTGAATTTTGGTTAGCTCCTCCAGCAGGTCTTGGAGCTCCTGGTCTACAGCCGGCGTGCTGTTGATTTTCTCATAGTAAGGAATGCTAGGCCCTTTCAGCCCCATTTCTGTAGTTGGTTGTACCCCAAATTGGGAGCTTGTCATGCTGCCATTCATAGGATTGTGCTCGAGTAGTAAGGACTGGCCAGCTAGTCCCATTGTTGCAGAGCTAGGAGGCATTGTTAATGCAGGGACATGCAGCTCTGTACAGATGGTACTGGGATGGGCACCTGGACCCATGGGTAGGGTGACATCTTCAAGGCAGGGCCTCTTAATTTTATTAGGGTAACCTCCATCAGCCATGCCTGGAAATTGGAAGTCATCTTCTTCCTGTCTCCTCTTATTGGTTCCCTGTGACTGAAAGGCGGTGGGGGGGGAGAGAAGGAAAGAGGGAGTTTTTATAAAGGCTTGGCACATTAATGCTAATGAACTGGAAACCTGCAAGATAAAACACACCTCAGTTTAAAGACTTCTAGTTGTCAAAACTATAAAACAGTCTATTTTGGGAAAAATGATGCTTGTTTCTTTGTTGCTATGCCTCATTTAAATGGTATCATTACATTTCATATAAGGCACTATCACATCTGTATACTAAACATGACAGAAAGTCAAGCAAAGGATATTCTTTGCCCACTTAGAGGAGTTCAGTGAAACTGTGACGGAGTCTCTAAATGAACTTGCTGCCAAAGGCAGGCATTCAAGAGCACAGTATAAGGAGCTGAATATTTTCAATTCCTGCTTGTTTACAGACATCTCAGTTGCAGACATGAAAGACTATAACACAGACATTGAGCTTTGATGCTGTCTGTCTTGGTCAAATGCATCAGGCTGCTTTGATAAAACAATTGAACAGGGATGAAGCTGATCTGGCTGTGTTCTTTTGAGCAGTTGTATTGCTTAGGGGGAAGCACAAATTTTAGAACCACAATTGTAGTCATTATTCCATTTATTTTCACACACACACACACTCACACTCACATTCATTGCACATACAAAAATATCTTGGGAAAACCATTTTAAGTAGTCCTCTCTTGGGGATTGCTGGCAAATTCCCTTTCTATTCTCTACCTTTCTGTATTGTTTGTTTTTAATGAGAAGGACATGTAACAAAACCCCAAATATCAAGTTATTTAAGCAAAAAATTCCTCCCTGCAGATCATCCTAAGGTTGGAGGGAAATCAAACAGCAGGAAAAGAACCCAATGTGGGATCTGTTCCTTGGGAGAGTTGCCCACTGTGTGTGAAAGCCTGGCCTTTTGGAACAAAGCGAAGCCACTAGGAATGCAGTCTTTGCTACTCTTTCACGTTTTTGTACACTGCTCCATGGCTGTCATGTTCGTGACCATGACTGGGCTGTCAGCAGAGAAAAGGGGTAAGGAGCACGGTGTGGGTGGGAATGATCAAAATAAGGAAAGGAAGAGAGGGACTTAGAACTCATTTGAATGCCAGCAAGTGAACAGATATAATTCTCTTAAAAGACTTTTTCACATAGGAACTCTTCTTCAGCTCTGGAAATCATTCTAGGACACAGAGTTCTGATTCCCTGACATCCCCTCACTTGCCAGCATAAGGGTCATGACTGTTGTGGCTAAGTGAACCCTGCAGTAGACCACCTAGGGCTACATGCCTCAGGCCTTGGCATACACCAGAATCACTTAGGAATATCCAGGGTCCTGGGGCATCCAGGGCGGGCCTGGGCACCAGGAGTTTGTGTGCACCCTGCGGCTGACTCTAAATGGACATGCAGCATGGGGTAGGCCCCTGGTCCTGGGGAATACACAACTAGGTCTCAGCTTTCCCACTTAACCTTTCTGAGCCCCCATTTCCTCAGTTGTGAATGGAGAATGATAGTTAGCTAGTTACTACTGAAATGGGGCAGATTGTGTGTTACCTGGTATGGCTTCACCAGCTGGTACCTGGCATCAGAAAGACAATGTCTAATGTTTTCCACTTAATGATGAGTCCCTAAGGCCCAGGGAGGGCCGAATTTTCCAGGAGTTGCCCAGGCCAGATGTAGGGCCCCTCAGTGACCACTCAGTGGTCTCTCATCCCACTGCCTTCATCCATCCCTGGAGTAGGACCTTGCTCTGTCCCTCCAGAAGGGTTCACCACCTTGTGTGAGAGGTGCATATAACCCAAATGAGGGCAGTTCTGCCACCAAATTCATCTGAGGCCTGAGCACTTGGATCTGGTAGGAAAGGGTGAGGAGGGACAGAGCAGCCCATCATCTGTGGAGTTTCCTATCCAGGAGCCTGGCTGGAGGCAGCAGCCACAGTATCCTTGAGCTGTCCAGGGAGCAGCTCACTAAATATTTGCCCACAGCAGGTGATCAGTAAATAGTAGCTGAATGGATCAATGGACAAATGGACACAAATGACTTCGAGCACGGGGAGCTTGGACCATTCATTCTGTCAATTATGGAATGGCCTCAAAATAAGTTAGTGGGTCCCAAAGTGATACTTGGTCCCCTCTACCTTCCCCCCAAAGGATCCAAAGAAATCTGACAAGTTGAAAACAGAAATATATGAAATGTATCAACGGTTGACTGAGTGTGGGTTTTTCCACAAGGATCCACTGCAGGGAGGCAGAGTTGGCAATGGTTGGGTCCAGTGTGCTGTCCATGATGTCTAAGGTGGCAGGGAGTGGGGAAGGCAAGACACAATCGCTGATGATCGCTGGACACTAAAGGTTGTGTTAGGGGCCATTGGCAAAGGAAAAAGGGCTGAACTTCTAAATGTGAGCTTGTGTGCGCATGACTTTTCAGACACCATCAGTGGCATCCACAAAAATGGTCCCCACTTAACTCTAAATCAGGAAACCAGCTGGCTCCTCAGTAACACAGCAGATTCCAAGACACCTTCTTGTCATATCCAGGTCCATCTCATGCTGGTTGATCCATTTTGCTGGATCAGGTGCCAACTTTGCTATGCCCCTTGCTGTCCCCAGGTGTGTCCCTCTTGTAATCCCCAATGAGGCTGCTGTCTGGGCAGAGGGCTTTCCTTTTTCAGTAGTTTTAAATGAGACCCCTTTTGTCAGAGGCTCCATGTTTGGGATTTTACAGTGAGAGCGCTTCATGGTGCCCTTAGATAGAGGCTCGCTTCAGTGCCTCCTCTTTTGCAGTCCCCTAATTTGTTACTTATTTCAATTGCAAGAGGCTGGCTTGGCTATTCTCATGCCCATTGTCACACTGGCACCTTGGCCAGGTCACCTGGGCCAGATTCTGCCTGCCTGGGCCATGTGATTTTGATGAGACCCCCTGGCCACAGTTTGAGATCCAGTGCACAGATCAAGACATCTCAGTGCTCTGGGATGACTTCCGTTCACTGTGTCCCCTAGCAGGCTTCCAGGCCTTTCTAAACCTAGCTGCTTTGGGTCTATGCCATTTTCCAGTCTCAGTGACAGCAAGCTGTTGGTTCTAGTGACCAGCCACCCCCTGCTCCCTTCAGGCCACATATTACACATGACACCGCCCTCTCACTGTGATAATGAGTGAAGCAGTAGATGCTGACAGGACTTCTAGTGAGCAGATGGAACCCTGTCTTTCCATAGAAAATGGAATGGATGTGATTTACTTTTGGTTATGCAGTCAATTAAAGGATAAGGGCATTAGACCTCAGGTATTCCAACTCCCAGCCAGTTCCTTGGTAGGCCCTGCTTTCAGTGGTAGGATGGGGGAAGGAGGGAGGGAGGGTACCCTGGCATCTTTTAGAAATGAATTACTTCCTCTCCATACATAAAAGCCTGTGGAGTCCCATTTCCTAATCAGGCAGACAAAGCCACCAATGTGATCCCTGTGGCCTCATAAACATTCATTAGAATGCATTTCAAAGCATGTGATGGCTCCCCCCCCCTCCAAGTAATGGGAACACAAAGGCCACCCTTCTCACTGGGGCCAAGTTCAGCTCCGAAGTCAACAGTATTTCTGGTCCTGTCTGAACAATGACATGTAGCAATGATTCCCTTTCTACAGTTTTGGTCCAGAATGACAAAAAGGGCACAGAAAGATTTCTTCAAAAAGGTATACAGATTAGAGAACTGCAGTATAGGTTCACAAGATGGGCATAAAGAGATAAAGGACGAGTGTGTTAAGCTACTAGAAATGCCTGATTTGAGACACCTTTGCTGGGAGTTTAACAAGGACACCAATAAAAGGCCAGCAAAAAGTGTGGACACTTCCTATCATGTAAGAGGGTAAGAGGTCCAGGCTGCCTGGGTGAAGGTGTCCAGAAGGTGCAAACTGTCGCTTATTCTGCCTCCTCTGTGCCCTTGCGAAGGCCTCCACCAGCTCAGCTCAGGCCGATTTGCTTGCTAGCTCTAGTTCCTCTCACAAGTACTCTTACCAACAGCTTTATTCAATCCCAGGACACTTCTCTATGAGTTTTCAAGCAGCTGATGTTGGCCAAGTAGGCCAGATTTGCAGCCTCCTGAGGACAAGGGTGGCTCCCGGGGAAACTTGCTCAGAAGAAGGTAATGAAGACGTTGTGGGACATGATGGAGGGAGCCCAGTGTCAACTTTCAGAGCTTTTTTATTACCCTGAACAGAAATCTATTGACAATCAAGCAGCCACTGCCTCCAGCCCCTGGCAATCACTCGACTACTTTCTGTCTCTTCTGATGATGTCACAGAAATGGAACCATATGACACGTATCCTTTGGTGTCTGACATTTTTCTCTGAGCATGTTTTCTTGGTCTGGAATTTCAGGGATTTGGTGGTGGTGGGGGTCATGCAAATTACACAAACACTTCGACAGTACTCGGGAGGGTTGTTGAACTTCTCTGAGCCTTCAGGTCCAACTGTTGGTGTTACCAGCCGCAGCCCTTTGTCACTGGACAGTGGTCCTCTTCGTTCATTGTCCTTTGAGACTAACAACAATTCTAGGATGTAGGCAAGGCTTTGCTTGGGATCCCTATTTTGCACATGGGTAAATCAAGGCTCAAGAGAGGCCAGGTGACTTACTAAAGTGACGCCATTAGTGGCAGATCAGAGGCTGGCACTCAAACTCCAGAGTGCGGTCCAGTAATTGAGCATGGAGAACCCAGGAGCGCACGGTGGTAGATGTGTGGACACCCCAACAACAAGTCTGCCTTTGCCGAGTAAACCCAGAGATTACTCTGGGGCAGCAAGGAGAGGCAGATCATTTCCACTCTGCATACTTACACTGGAGATAAAAGCCTACTGGCCAGTTGCAGTCGTGGCATTTGGAGTCACCTCTGTAGGGACTGCTATACTTGCCTCAGGGCTTTCCAAATCACATCTGTCAGACCAGGGCCAGTAGCAGGGAGTGAACTCAGAGAAGGAAGCTCCTGTTGTACCTGAAGGGAGCGTGGCTGCCAGGAGTTTGTGGATCTGCCTGGGC